TAATGCTCTGTAATTTTCTTAAGTGGATATATGGGTCATATCAATCATTCTTACTTTATAATCACACAATAATGGGAAAGTACATTTTGGGTTGGATTCTACTCTCTTATGTATCTTGGTGTAACCACATAGTGAGGCTAGAACTTGGCTCTCTGTCAGCATGCCCCACAAGTGACTTACCTGTTACTAATCTCCAAGTCAGATTTACTGGTCTGGAGTGGTTAAACTGTTGCTCTGGGAAACACATTCTTAAAAGCTAGTGAAAACTTACTCTGTCTTCTCTCCCCTTCCTCTCAATCTAATCAATTTCACAGATGTTGCTCTCTTCATGTGAGGATTTAAACTGTTTCTGACAGGTAACAGGGCACCCAGATAACATAGGATCACACACATCAGGCTGCAAAAAGCAAATGCACAGAAATTGTCTGAGGCAAGAATCAGGCATGCTCTAAAATCTGTTTGGAATTTCTGAGAGGACACTAAAAAGACACATCAAGGAAAGCCTGGAACTATGGAAAGTCTAGGCTCAAGGCTTCAGCAAAGTCAGACATCTTTGTCTGACACCTGTACACCTCCATGCATCTTCATAAAAACAACGGAACAAAACTGGAGAGAGAAATGTGGAACTGTTTTAGTTGTGGTTGCATCACAGAAAGTTTATCTAACTGAGATGAACCTGTGTACAGATTTGCTGTCATACAACCAATATTCAGGCAGCCCATTGCACATGTTACTGTTACCTCTGGAACTGAGTGCAAGATTATTAACATGATAAATCCTTTTTTCCCTCTTTCACCCCCCTCCTTCTCATAGTTTCTTAGCGTGTTGCAGAAACATGATATTCTCGCTGTTCCAAGCTAAAATTTGCCACTCCATGCATGGTGCACTTCATACCAGACTTTTAAGTATCAATTTTTACACTCTGTTAGGAGCAGTATTTCAAGGATATCAGCCATATTTTTTCAAAAGAACCAGGTTCTCTGTTGCATCCCTTTGCAACTCCAGTGGAGCAGATTCTGACTTCAAATGGCCACCACGGCCACCGGCTGGCATCAGGGCTTTCTCTGCCCAAAGCTGCTGCAGCCCAAACCCTGCGGCAGCTGCACGCTGCTCTTGGAGCAGACCTAGAAGGACGAGTGGAGGAATGCCTGCCCCACCAGGTCTCCGATGGAGCATCTTGAAGCGGCAAAGCCGCTGCAGGCAGCGTCAGGGCTCAGCTCCATCAGCTCTGTGCAGCACTAGCTCAGATATCAAAAGCACTACGGCTGCATTGGAATCAGCTGGGCCCAGCTGAAGAAGGAGTGTTACTAGTCTGAGCAGAGGAAAATGGATCTACTGCTACACTATTTCTCGTGCCTCAGCTAGCTTATTCCAGGCTAGTTTGCTTGTATCTCTGCATAGCACCGAATTAGGGCATCGTCAAACCCTACTAAACTAGGCAATGAACTTTTTACAAACTGAGCCTACATTATTATACCCTTTTTTATCAGGTAAGCCACTTCATTTTAGATCTCAAGAAAAAGCACTGTACTAAGAAGAGGGAAAGCAAACCAAGCCTTGTATTTTTAAAACCACTCCCAACTGAAATATATAGTCAGAAACGCAGGAAGAAAGCAGTGGAGAAGGACAGATTTCTGCAGGTCCCAAAGAAGTCATCTGCACTTTTTGTAGTCTACACAGTCCTCCATAGCAAACTCACTGCATTCAGCTGCCAAAAAAATATTTTTGCCTACCTGCATTATGAAATTTTGCATACTATTCAGCAAAACCAGGTCTTCCTATATGCATTTTTAACTTCTTGCAGCAACACATAACTGCTAGCAAACAATTACTTACAAAGATGCTCTTTAAATATAAATAAGAAAGTGTGTATAACTCACTGATACATAGTAATAAAATAATCCCTAAATCACTTATTACATTATGCAAGATAAATAATTTGTCTTTTGGACATTAACAGGAAATCTGCATTAAATTATCTTTAAAAAACCACTCAAAACTCCCTCACAAAAAAACCCAAAACAAACCCAACAAAAAAACCCAACAAAAACCCCATAAAACCCCTAGACTGTCACAATTATTGCACAACTAAAAAAAAAACTTTGGAAAAACATACTTAACTACTCAAAATTACTGTATGTAAAAAAGAACTAGGTATTTCTGAACACTTTGCTACATTCTTCCTAGAAGAACTTAGTTATCTACAGAAAACCTGGGTTTTATTAACAAAATATAAAATGTAACATCTGTCTTTTGGCTGAATGCAATTGCGATCTTGCACACTCAGACATTTACGTAATTCCCATTCCTTTCATTAAAATTCAATATATTTGAGAGTATTTTCTCTCTCTAATACTGGGTATTCTCTATGCCATTAAAATCCTCAATGAAAGGGACTCTTAAATTATTTTCAAAAAGATAAAAGATTATCTTATTCTATAGCATTTTCTGGCAAGTAAATGGGAAGGATGTTGGAAATTGCATTTATTTTCCTAATTACTTTATTTCCCTAATCATTCCTTGTGCTTTGCTGGGGCAGAAACCAGGTCTCTTCTATGCCAAGGCTCTTTGTAAGTGCCATCAGAAGGATACAATCATGACCTAGGCCAATGAAACCAAATTACTACCTCTGCTACTTTTTGTATCAGGTTTCATTTCTTGGTTCTCCATTAGCATAAAGCTGCTGATAATTGGAAAAAATTGGCAATGAACCAATTGAAAAGGAATACTGTTTCCTGGGAAGTTAAAGAAACTGCATGCAGAAGTCCTTCTATTTAGATTAGATTTTGTTCAGAAAAAACATTCATGTTATTTCCACGTAATAAGAATTTTGGCTTAAAACTACAGGTGATGTTCCTTCCAGCTGAAGATTTCTAAGATGTGACTAAGAGGCCCTTCCCTCAGCAAGCAAGCAAGCCACGGTACGTTTCTTCTCTTACGGTGTTCAGTGTGTGCCTGTTATACTCTAATTAGGGTACGACTGGTTAGCACAGACCTTAGGGAAGGCGAGGACTCTCATCAGCCAACCTTCCTCCTTGTGTACTGGAATCAGGTGGACTAAGAATTCAACCTAGTGTTTGTACAGCGTAATAACTCAATATAAACAAAGGGCATAACAGTGCTTCCTCTGCAAAAATCCAAGGGAAACACTTCCATTGGTTTTAAAGGGATTGGAATCAAATCCATTTTGGTTCCCCTGTTCCACACATGTTATACATACAGGCACTCAAACTGCTGAAATAAATCATGCATGTGAGAAAGAATACAAATGGGCCCAGACAACTGATGGAAATTCAACAAAATGAATTAATTGAAGCAAACAACGGTCTGTTAGATGCCAAGGGGAATGTTGTACCTGACCTCTCCCACACACAAGCAGGAGCTGCTGAGCTTTGGGATAATACAAGCATGGTACCATCTACTTCCCCCCTCCTTCCTTCCTACCTCTGTTTCCTCTCTCCAAGGAAACCATTTTGCAGGTGGTTTTTCCTGGACTTACCCTGTGGGACATCACCTGTGGATGATCTGCCTCGTCATCTCCCTTGGCAACTCTCTGAAACTCCTCTCTGACCAGCATTACTCTCTCTGTGCTGCACAGGTCTAGAAGCCTCAGCAGGGCACAAGTTATAAGCTCACTGCATGTTGGTAACTTCTACTACAGAAGGGTCCTGTTTTACACGATATGTTCTTCTAGAACGAATCAAGTGCTACACACATCCGTCCTACCATTAGGATTTAAGAAAAGCAAAGAGAGAAAATCATGGCTATTCATCTTAAGTTATACCGAGTTTTTCAAGTGTGAAGTTAAACTGTGGATGAAAGACAAAGACAAAGCAGCCATTGAGACCTCAGCCAACATATCTTTCTCAGTGTGCCTTTCACTTCAAAAGAGTAATTTCTGAAGGAAATCTGCAGTTACGTTTTGTAATCTAATGTCCAAATACTTACATGAACAGTTTTGGGTTTTGTGTATTACTGGGGAAATTGCTTCCATATAAAAACATTCCATAGCAAAATGCAGGCAAGGAGGAAAGAGAGAAAGCAAATAAATATGTGCACGACACATGGACAACACAGAAACTCTTCTGTGCAAGCAACCCTTCTGAAATGCTCGACAGGTCTGCGTGTCCACCAAAAAGAACTGCAGACAGAGAGTCATGCTACAGTTATTAAGCCTTCCTCTAGAACACTCCATGTAAACTTTGGCTTCCCACTCTTATTTGGAGCATTATATTCTCAAACCACAGTCACAAAGACTACTCAAGTAGCAAGGTGATAAAAGGGATGATTCTGTCCAATTTTTCCTTCCTCTTTCAACTCTTTTGTTTTCCAGCCAGCCATGATGTTTCCTGTAATGAAATTGCTTTCCTGATGAAATTGCTTCCTGTAATGACTTGCATAATTCTGTCTCCTTCCTAATTCAAGCATTGATACACTGCTGTAGAACTTGATTCATACTGATTGCTAAGAAGACTGAATACACTGGGCCTTCTCATTCACTTGAAAGACTTTGTTTATAAAGTGTAAACACACTTAAATGAGGAGCATGTACAGGCATGGCCTCAGAGGTACATCTGGTCACACTGGGGTACCTCTCCCAACTACAGGCCAAATTGGAGAATACTGCTGATCAATATGAGCAAAGAAGCAACGCTTACAATTATTTCCGCTCATATTTTCTGTCACCTACTGCAAGATGTTTATCCCCAATAACAAAAGAAGCAATGCTCATAATTATTTCCTCCTCTATCTTCTGTCACCTACTGAAAGATGTTTATCCCCAATAACAGCACACAAAACAAGCAGACATCAACTTCTTTGATACAGTGGGTTTTTAAACCACCTATTGGTAACAATTTTTTCTCTTCTGAATAATACATCATTATTTATAAATTAAACATTGACCTACACAAGTCTCCTTGGAACTTGCAGTGCTCAGTTATTATCAGAGATCAGAGAAGAAACACGTGTCTTCAAGTATTATCGCTTCTTTTTTTTCTTTTTTTGCTGCTATCACTGATGTTGTAGTAGTAGTAGTAATAGTAGTAGTAGTACAAACTGGACCAGAAAAAAAGTTATGTTCCCTGTTTTAAAAAGAACAGCATGATATAAGGCAGTCTATCAAAAAGAGCAGTCTTTTTTAATCCCCCTATGAGCTTACACCAGCTACTGTAGCAAACACGGCAGAACCACCACAACAAGCCAAAAGCCACACTTCTCCACGTAACACTGAATGGCTCTCAACCCTTCGCTCTTTCTGAGACCCAGCACAACGCTTAAAACGAAAAAAAAAAAAAAAACCACCTGAAATAAACAAACAAACAAACAAACAGAACAGAAAACAGCCCCCCACCCTCCACCCCATGACTGATTAGAGTTAATGCCCTCCTGTTGGGCACCAAGAGACTTTTCCAGTTTTACTGCCTTCTTCACTCCCAGGCACCTCTGCACACCTAAAGCAGGCTGCCCTGACATTTTCCGGTTTGGACTTTATGAGAAGGTTAACATTTTCCTCTCCCCAGTCTCTGCTTGTTCATTTGAGGCGCTGAGTCACATTAGCCAGAGCAACAGCAAAGGCTTGCACTGCAGAAAATGGATACTGAAAGTCCAAAATGTAAGCATTGCCATCAATCCTTCCAAACTGCATCACCTGGGAAGCAGGGGAAGAGGAGAAGGGAAGGAAAAAGAGAACAAGGTCAAAAAAAGTGAACCACAGAAAAGGAACCAGAGAAGAATAAAAGTGAAATGTTTTTGCTCCTTTTTAAGAACACCTCACCTCCTGAGCTAATATGAATGGGGCTACTCACAGAATGGGGTATGATGCCAAAGAGTAAGAGCACCATACTATTGTCTGTATAGAGTATTTGATTGCAATATTTGACTCTATAGAGTAAATTGAGCTTTAAAACATGCTAGGCTGTATATAGCATTGGTGGAAGTAGATTGTCACCACTTAACTTCAGCAGATGTGGGTTACACCAGCACTTCCTGCAGGAAAATAACCATTCTCTCCCTTGGAGAGATCCTATCATTAGCCCATCAGGAAAACAGATTTTGTTTTCACAGAAAGGAGCTTTCAGGGAAGGGGAATAACCAATCTCCTGACTCTAGCACTTCATAGCTGGTAAGCTGAATGTTCTTGGCAGTTCTGTTTTCCTTTGCATAAACTTCACTAGTACATAATTACACTGAGAATGAATTAGCAAGGGGACAGTGGGAGATGTTTGAAATGTAAAGCAAGGCTAGTCAGGTTGTTAGCTGTTCTTCCACAGGGAACTTCTGAAGTTTGGCCTATTATTACTGCTTTTTCACTCGCTTCATCAGAAGCCCAGGTCATATTTGCTCTACAGTGAAGATCCTTGAGCTAGAACGGAGGCTGGCTGTGCAAGCCAAGTCAGGCTTTGCTCCCCCACCAGCAAAACCTGTGGCTGCGTGATTTTGCACAGCTGGCCACAGGCATGTATCCACAGCCATTTAACTGAAGAAGAAAGGGGTATAAGTGGCTCTGATCACTGCCTTTTTAATGAGCTGTTGTCACAGACAAACAAAACCAAGAGACTACCACTGGTCATGCATATTGGATATTTAAGACATCTAACTCCCAAGTTAAATCAGAGAGAGTTGCGAACCTTGATGTCTTTAATAAATCAAAAGTGACTTACAGAGGTGGGACAGCTGGACAAGGAAATAAATATGCGTCTCCTGAGTCTCAGTCCAGGGTCCTGCTGATTGGTACCACTTAATAGCCTGGGTTTGGTGTAGTAACATCCCACTTGGGCCAAGGTGAGAGAGCCTAAAATTAAATGCTTTGATTTTTTGAACTATCCACAGACGACTCTACCCACGGGCAGTTCAGAAGTGGCCCAGGAGCACTTTGTTCTGGGGAGGGTCAGCGCCTCCCTCCTCTAGCATAAAGAACCAGCCCCAGAGGCCTGGTAACACACAAGGGGAAATTTCGGCATGGAGGGAACCTGACTGCCCATCCATCGTCTCTGCCTTGGCTACCTGCTGACTGGCTAACCTTGTGAGCATCACAAGAAGGGAGCAGTGTTCACTCAGCTAGCTGCCATCCACAACTGCCCACAGCAAATGCAGCTACCGCTGGGGAGATCTCATGTTTATCACAAAACCCACCTACCTTCATCAGTGAGCGCCAGTGAGACTAAAGGAGGCCCTTATTCCTGCATCCAACTGGAGTAAGACCAAACATACTTTGTACATTTACTTTATAACTGAACTTCACTCTCCATTCTGAATCTATACCTTTGACGACTGGTTTTTATCAACCACATGGCAAAGCTTCTTTTCATGGAGCAGCTAACACGAGTGGGAGACACTCGACCACATGAGAGGCAGAGCTTATTTCTGGCATGGCTTCCCCAGACTCCATCCCCCACCCTGGCCCATGTGTGCTGCCCCCTCCTACCTGTCGTCCTTCCAGCTCAATCTGGAAGTTTTTTGCCGACTCCTGGGTCACCCGCCCTCCAAAGTCCAGCTGGTAGACTTGCGTCGCCTCGTTCCACAGCGGCTGCTTGTTGGCCATCACGTACACAAAGCCCTGGCTCCCCAGCCTCCCATCCTCCTTCTCGCTGGCCTTCCGGCACTTGAACTCGTCCAGCTCACTGGCTGTCCTCAAACTCCTTTTGGTTTTCCAACCCTTTTTGCTGCCCTGGCTCTGGTTCATCAGTTCATCCCCACTGATAAAAAGCTCTGGCTCGCTCTCCGAACTGTCCTGAAACTCGTTCGTCTTGTTTAGCTTCTTGGACTTCAGCTGGTCTTTCTGGCTCTTGACTTTCTTCTTCTCCCTCCCCAGCCGAGGGCTGGATATTAGCGAATTGAAGTCGGTCAGTGTCCTTGCCTCCTTTTTGACCTTGCCCTCAGTGATAGCCTGCACATTTCCTTCCTCGGCTCGACTGTCCAGGCGCTTGCGGCTCTTCTTGCCGAATTTGTCCGTCCTTTGAGGAACGGGGCTTTCTGTCAAGGAGAGCACCTCCTGGAAAGTGTCTGCCGTCTCCACCATTACCTCTGTGCCCACGTGGCCCTGCAGCTCTGCCGGCGGAGGAGACATCACCGGCTTCTCCACCACGAGGAGTGGCTTGGGGGCCAACGTGCCCTGGGGGTTCTGTACGGGTGGGCAGGCGCTGTAGGAGCTCCACGGGTGCAAGGCGATGGGTGGCAGCTGTAAACTAGAGCAGGCGCTACTTCCCGGGTACATGGGTGGCAAAGGGCAATAGGAGAGGTTGGATGGATAGCCTGGCTGAAGCACGACTGTGGGCTCCTGCTGTGCAAACTGTGTTGGGGCCAGAGCTTCTTTGGGGGAGCAGGGGGGCTGCATTCCCTGAAGGGGAGGAGCATTGTAGCTTCCCGGGTAAGGTACTCCAACCCCATAACCTGTCTGGAAAGTGGCAGTGGGACTGGTTGGAGACTTGGGGGAAACAAATGGCACTCGAGACATATCCAGATGCTGAGCTTGACCGATGATGAGAGGAGTAGGTTTTAGAGGGTTGGGCACTGAGCTCTGAGATGTCCTTTCCTGAGGAACCCATATCTCTTCACTCACCATAGGGTCCCACTGGTACGGTGGTGGCCGTTTTACACCGAGGGCAGCCTCTGTCAAGGACACAGGTACGTGCCGTATTGATTTCTCCACTGGGCAGTGCTGAGAAAGGGCCTCATCCTCTGCGAAGGCGGAGTTGATATAATCCGCTCGGTCACGGGAATTGTCAGGAGGGCTCAGCAAGCTGTAGGAGGACTGGGAGGCTAGAGGTGAAGTACTGACAGAGTGAGCAATGACGGAGCTGTGCTGGGAGCCACTCCCCGTGCTCAGATCAGGTCTCATGCCACCAATACTGGAAGTGCTGCTACTAGCATTGGCATTAGTGATGCTGCCCACACCACCAGCACTTTTTTTTTCTACTGCATTGGCGGCAGGTGTACAAGGCGGTGGGTACTCTCTGCTGGTACTGTGCCGTCACAACGCTGCTCTTGGCCTTTGGGGGAAGTTGCAAGGTGGCTCTCTGACTGTCCACCAGCTGAGCCATTTTCAGAGCTGCCTCTCTGCTGTTCCTCCGCAGAGTTGCATGAATGATACTGCTGTCCAGCCTCTGTGCGATGCTTCTGCCCTGGGACAGCTGGCTGGCGATGTCAGGGTAAGGTGGCGGGTCCCCGGTTGGGATTGAGTAACGAGGGACTGTGAGCCGGTTCAGGGTGGCGCTGGCACAGGGCTGCTGCATCTTCTTCTCAGCGGCAGTGATGCGCAAGGTGGCGGAGCTGCCGGGCCCCGGCAGGGTGTAGGTGCTCTGGGCACAGAGCATCCTGGTGCGAGGCCGGCACACCTCCTCCACATTCCCACTGCTGTCAAAGGTCGTTATCCGTTCGTACCCCAGGGGCGTCTGGTAGTGCCCTGCTGGGTAGAGGGAGAACTCCCCCTTTTTCAGACAGAGGTCAAGGGGCGGCTGTGGGGGGCC